TGCCAGATGCCTCCAGAACCGGGTCAGGGTGAACGACCACATCGCTGTCACTTTTCCATCCCTGTGCGAAGTGATAGTAAACTTGGGGTTTAACCATAGATCGCCGCCACCGCTCAAGTCTGCAGGAGGTACTCTTGGCGGTGTGACACAGCTCTCCTAAGATCCCGGCCCCAGAATTGGTATGCGGTAGCAATCGCCGTTTCGGTACATTTTCGGGAGGTGAATGCATTCCTTGGAAAGACGATTGCATTTGCCCCCTGCAAATCCAGGGCTGACCAGTTAGGACTCAGCAGATGTGTAGATTGAGGAATAGTGTTAGACAGGGTGGGGGACCGCCAACCAAAGGGTTGAGGGGTAGTTCCAGTTTGAACTGTAACTTTTGCAGGTTCATCTTTGGTTCTCAGATGCATTGGCTGCAGATTACACCGCCCTCCACAAAGCGCTCCTGTGGTTAACAGAGTCAGACTGGCATCAGCACTTAACCAATTTCATCTGTTCTTCTCTGATACCAAATTGATAGGAACCTAAGCCATCCTGACTGAAGAGATTCTAGAACTCCTGTTTATGGAGAGCTATTTTTATATACCCTAAATCTTCCTTATGGCCACACAAGCCAGTTTGTTTCTTTTGCTGTAAAGATGAGTAGGATTAAAGCCACCCAGAGCCAAGTCCTGGCAGTACCACGCTTCCTCTGGGCACAGAGCTAGGGTGTGTGAGATTACAGCTGGCAGTGCCGACTCCCACTGATGTTGGCCTTGGGCTCGGGAGAGTTGCCAATAGAATGGAGGTTTTCTTAGAATTAGGAGTGTAGTCCAGGGGCGATGAAGAATCAAAGTGTTCAACACACAGCTGTGACATTCCCTTCATCCCCTGTAACTGATACCCTCCTGAAGAACCCAGTAAATTAAGGCCTAGCAATGGGGATGACTGTGCTTCTAGCACATCTGACCTGAAATTATGTTAAAGCCAGCTTGTGGCCTATAGTCTAAAAATAAGCAAACTGTGTAGCATAACAGGCCTCAGTTTAAAAAACAAATAAACAAACACAACTGGCATTAAAGGATGAACCACCACACCTGGCATCTGTTTTTTTAGCTGATGGAATGACTCTGTTGCCTGCTGCACTGACACATTAGGGGGAATGCTATTTAGAAAATATTCCTGAGAGGTTCACAGTGCTTGGTTATGCTTGGTTGACAGGACGAGACTGGAGCCTATCTGATTGACAGAGACCCCACCTACTTTGGTCCTATCCTAAACTACCTCCGACATGGAAAACTTATCATTACCAAGGAGCTGGCAGAAGAAGGTAAGGATACCTCACTGCGTGGTTTCTAACATCCAGTCCCATAGAGCTGCTTCCCAGGCTTGAGTTTTGTTTGGGGTCCTCCCTGGAGGTGTGCAGGTATAACTGGTGATGGGAGAAGTGGGCAGGAAGCCTCCAGTTCCCAGGGCTTTCCGAGAGAACCTTGAAGGGGGCTGCACTGGGCTCTGTTGAGCTGCCATAGTGAGAAGCTGGGTTGTTGTGCTTTGTGGAATGCTTTAGGCTTTTGAGCCCGAAGAACTGATCTTATTCACAGTGAATGCTTGTAGCCTGAAGCACCACATGTCTGCATTCGGTTATTTTTATTTTCCCATTTTCCTTTGGACTTGCAAAAATAATATTAACAAGGACCTGACCTCATTTCTTTAAGGCTCTGGTCTCATGCTCCCCATGAAGTTGTGAAGCTGACCTAGTTCACTCAGCAGCTCATTGTCCGCCGAGTCTCTGGCTGCCTTGTCACTCTGCTTTGTAGGGCATTTGGAGTGTAAGTGGGCCTAGTCCTCCACATAAAAGGCCTGCCCGGTCTCTCTGGAGGCACCCAAGGAAATTGGGGGTCCTTTCCTAAACCCAGCACCCCTGATCTAAATCCTCTGGCTACAAAAGCTTGTAACAGCAAGCCGCTTCGTTAATGAGGGTGGTCAGGAGAGAGGAATTGTGAACTCTTTTGAATCCTCTTTCTCCCTGAAGGGAGTCTATAAATGACCTTAAAAAACAACAACAACAAAAACACCATTTCAAGTGGTGGTAATGGTGCACAACTTTAATCCCAGCTTTAGGAGGCTGAGGCAGGCAGATTTCTGTGAATTCAAGGCCAGCCTGGTCTACAGAGAGTTCCAGGATAGGCTCCAAAGCTACACAGAGAAACCCTGTCTCGAAAAACCAAAAAAAGGGGGGGGCATTTCAGATTTATACTTAAGTAATAGGAAACATGTACCAAATTCCATGTGCTTGATATCCTAACAACTAGTGCCTTATAATCTTTTCATGTCTTTAATAAAAACTGCTTTATATTGAGCCAGTGAGGTGGCTCAGCAACTATCAGCTCTTGTGGCCAAGCCTGACAACCTGAGTTCAATCCTGGTACGCACATGGTGGAAGGAAACAATCCATTACAGCAAATTCTCCTCTGACCTCCATATTCAAGTCCCTCCCACTTATGCTTACAAATAAGATAGAGTTTCAGTATGTAGTCCTGGCTGACCTGGAACTTAGATCCATCTGCCTCTGTTGGGATTAAAGAATGCACTACCACACCTGACAAAAATAAATGTTAAAAAGCATTTTAAAAAAAAATTTATTTCAGCTGGACAATGGTGGCACACCCCTTTAATCCCAGCATTCAGGAGGCAGAGGCAGGTGGATCTCTGAGTTCAAGGCCAGCCTGGTCTACAGAGTGAGTTCCAGGACAGCCAGGGCTATTATACAGAAAAATCTTGTTTTGAAAAAAACAAACAAAAGCACTTTATTTTGAAATAATTTTGGACTTGGAGAAAAAGACATGAATAATACAAAGTTTACTTTACCAAGATTAACCAGTTTTGGTTATAACATTTTTTGTTATGTTTTCTTTTATCACTGAACTTTATCTCCTCCTCCCTCCCTCATTCTCCTGAGAGTTTCTCAGAACTGTTTGAGAGTAGATGCCCATTTCACCCCTTAGTAACTCTCTGTGTTACTCTAAAAACAGGAACCTGGCATAACCCTGTTTCACAGCTCAAGAACTTTAATATTGGTCATGTGTCTGCATCGTCCCAATTTGTCCACTGTTGTGATAATGTTCATTACAATATGGTTTCCTAGTGCACGGGCATCATCCCAGAATTGTTGGAAGATCTTTGATTTTGTTTACCATGAGAGGAGTCGGTGATTGCTCTCCAGAGCGCACTTGCGCGCTCACGCACATGCGCGCACGCAAACACACACACACACACACACACACACACACACTCCCTCCCTCCCTCCCTCCCTCC